ATTATACTGAGTTTGTACTAATATTTGTGAAATACTGTAATAATATTTTACAGGGAATAGTTCGTTGTAAAAGAAATCATTCATGGATATAAGAAATAATTCAGATTCTATTATCATTGCCAGGCCATTATCCTGAGTTTTAAGAGGTTTATTTTTTTGATTTATTTTTGTGTAAACAGCAATATAATCCCCCTGCCGCAGCAAATCTATAGACTGAGTGAATTACCGTTTGCCTGATTATAATTTCACTAAAATATGTTAGAAAATTACCCTATTTTGATTCTATTTTCTCTATTTTTCGGTTTGTAACTGTTGTGATAGCTTTTTTGTTTACAGTGCAAACCATTAAACACGTTCTTTTATTGTACCTTAAAATCTATTATTGGTTTTGTATCGTAGGTAGTCTAAATAGCCTACATTCACAGTATGAGTTAACCAAAACGTACTATTATCGAGTTCAGTAATACAGTTAAAGTTTGTTTCTGAATAAAATGGTAGGAAAGAAACCATTTGGCATTTTCAAAGAACCAACATTGTCTCTTTTTCATACTGACCCCTTTGCAAGGCACGGGTATGGCTGCAAATACGAATAGTAGCGGTGGTTTGCAGTAGCTGTTCAAATAACAAAGTGACCGGCGCTACTAATTGTGACCAACGGGATTATTTAGTATCTTATATAAATTAGAGTTAATCACTACGACCACAAATGTCTTATTTCTACATAAATATAAATTCCATAATACCCCAACCGCAGCAAACCTGCAGCCTAAGCAAAATTCTATTTGTGTGACTTTATTTTCAATTAAATCTAATTCAATAACATTAGGTTTAACGATTACCTAGGTTTGCTGCCTACAGACAGGGAGGGCAACGAAGAGTGATTTATAGGCAAATATTATTAGCTTAGTATGAAAGAAAGAAATTTGCCAATTTTGATAAAAATATATCCATAAACAAGCAATATTACAACAGTTTACGTATCCTACTAATATTATAAGTAAGAAAGTTTGGATGTATGGATGGATTGATGGATGGATGGATGGATGGATGTTTGTGACAAGTACATACTAAAGTAAATACTAAACCGACAAGGTTAAAATTTGGTATGATATGATAGCTGACATTCCTGATTAACATAATATAGACATATTCAAACCTCAAAAACCCTTTTAGGCTCCGCCACGCACAATTTGTTTTTCAGGATTAATTTTGCCAACAGTGTCATTTAGAGAATTCTGATTGACTATAACGAAGGTTTAGTAATTGAACAATTATTTTTGTTCATAGAATAAAATTATAAATGCCTCAAATTCAATTTTATATTTTTTTATTATGAAATTAAACCGTCATAACCTAACCTAACCAACCAAACGTGCTGACAATGAAAAAATCTAATGAAGGTTTATTAATCGAAAAAAATAGTTCTGTTCATAAAACAAAATTATAAATGCCTCAAATCCTATTTTATAATTTTTTTATTATAAAATTAAACCATCATAACCTAACCAAACTAACCAGACTTGCTTATGATGAAAAATCAAATGAAGGTTTAACCGGAAAAAAATCTGTTCATAAAATAAAACTATAAATGGGTCAAATTCAATTTTCATAATGTTTTAATTATAAAATTAAACCGTCATAACCTAACCAAACCAACCAAACTTGTTGATAATGAAAAAAAATCAAATACAAAAAATAGTGCTACGGGTGTGATTCGAACCCGGATCCTTCGGACCATTAGCCCAGCACTCTATTCACTACGCCACCGAGGCCGATGGCATCAACCGTATCGTCGCGGTAATGATATTCCCTTAGCCAATCAGAAGCCTCAAAATAATACTGTAGGCAACACTGATCCTGAAATAAAAATTCAGCCTCCGCCACAGTGGCTCTGGATTTTCTCATGTTAACCTTATGAGTATTCATATTTAAGGGAATTAAAGAATTTTGTCAGCCGTTTCAACTGTACAAGGTGGTTCTATGATTGAATAGCATTACAAGTTATGAGGCTAACCAACAGGGTGCAGAACTATTATGTTTTTTGCATTTATTACAACAGCTAATTTGAACCAACTAGCAACAAAAAGTTGTGGTACACAATGAGAACATACTTTTTCCATGGCTTAGCTGCAGTGGTAGAACATTAGGGCTATGGTAGATGTGTGCCACACTATATGATACCGTATAAATTAAAAGCCCAAATTTCCTTAAACTGTGTCGTCTCCCATAACTGCAATAAGCATTTTATACTTCTATGCCAACCCCGTACGAAGGACGGGTACTCTGCTAGTACTCAATAAAGGCAGTCTAAAGTTTGCTACAAATATACACTTGGAAATATAAACTTGAAAAAAGACGTTTTAAATGTATTATTGTTTTTTTTTCACCTCAAATATGAAATAAAATCAAACTTTCATAACTATTTGCAAATTTACACGAATTAGGCTTTCCAACGACCCATTAAGTAACAAAATCGGTACAGTAGAAGTCTAGATTTAGTTGTACAAAGTTTAACAAAAATATTCCTAACTTAGTATTTTCTCATTACTATAAATTTGGAGGTTGCTTAGCTTTTTTGCAGATAACTTTTAAATGGTGAGGAGATTGACTAAAGTGGAAGGTGTATTCTGAAATAGAATTAAATTTCCTAAAAATTGATACTTGGAAATACAAAAAAAACAGCAAAAAGTCGTACCCAAATAAAAAGTGTGAAAATGCCGTTTTCAAAGTATTTCTTATAGAAACCATATTTGTTTAAATTTTTCACCATAAATCATAACAAAAACAAACTTTAATAAGCTTTCTAACGACTATTAGTTAATAAATTTTGTCCAGTAGAACTCTAGATTTAGTTGTACAAATATTTTTACAACTGAATTATATATTAAGTAGATAATGTCAGGTAAACACTTATCAAGCTTATATCTTTTCATGAAACAGGCCCCAGGCCACAAATACAAATAATATTGTCAACGCCAACTCTTTTATGGAAAGTAAATAAACTATAAATAAAATAACTCTTTTATAACACAAATATAAATATGGCAAAAATGACATCATTATGGTAAATTATTGCACACACTACACACCTCTACCAAGTTTCAACGCCCAGACGTTCTCTCAAATTAGTTGCCACATGAAAAATACATGTAGCGCATTAAATATATAGATAGGAAGGGAATTTTAAAGGTCGCTGGGGCAGAGCCACGGCCGCCTTTAACCAGGCCATTAACTCCAGGCCGCGGCCTTCGAAGTGGCAACGTTGTAAGTGGGGTTGTAACAGCTGTTTTTTTTGGAAGCAGCTAGTGGTATTTGTGTATTTACGAAAGATTGGTTACTGATTGACTCCGCTTAAAATGTACACATATAGATTTTTAAGACATATTGTTTCGGTTTTCAATTCTGTATGTTTTATTTTCAATATTTTAATAATTTATGTTCATGAATTTAAATCAATAAAGTGCGAATTAATAAGCTGGTGTAACCTGTCTGACATGTCATCTTATGGGGGGACGTCTGTCACTAAACAACAACACTTGCGACGTTGCCAATTCTACCCATGAATTCTACCAGACTGTGGCAGGTAGCCGTGGCAGATTCCCCAAGGGAATTGAACTTGTTTCTCTTTTGATGGCTCATATGGACTATGACCTTTTAGACACCTCTACCAAGTTTCTACGCCCAGCCGTTCTCTCATATTAATTGCCACAAGAAAAAAAACATGTAGTGTATTAACTATATAGATGTAAAAACGTGATTTTATAAGTTGCGGCACATTTTAGCCATGCCATTACTTTCAAATTTTAGTTGTGGCTAGTATGCCACATTTTAAGAAAACCGTTGTAAGCATTTTTAAGGGAGAGGAGGGAAAATGCTTTTACGAACACAGGTAGCCAGCCTGTAGTGTGAGACTCCTGAATCTATCACAGACTACTCACTAAAAAACCCCTCTACTCTGTTGGACACAGACCTAGAATTGTTTGTCACATTACTTCAAGTCAGGTCAACATGTGACCTAAGCCCTCAGGGCTCTCACCATTTTTGGCACTGGTTATCCCCAGAGTTTAAAACACCATTCTTTCAAATTTTTATATAGACTAAAAAATATATAGACAATTTTTTTATATTTATATATATATATATATGTGTGTGTGTGTCCATCCGCACGATAACTTGAGTAATTTTTGTCCGATTTTTATAAAATTTGGTTTGAAGGTGTAAGGTGGGATGAACTTGAATGAGTTTGCGCGAACCAGCATGATCGGACCATGGGATCTGGGTTTAACGGGGGGTTTTATGGGGTAAAAATGGGGTTTCTATTTTTTTAGCCTTAAAACACAAAATTTATAAATTATTCTCCAGACCTTTTTAAATAGCTTAAAAAAAACAAATAATTTAATATATCAAAGTGTTTTTGTACGGTGAATTGTTACGGTGACAATTCAAAAATGTTTAATTAAAAATTCCCATGTTATTCTTATGGAGATGTTGTAGTTGGCTTGTTTATGGATATATATTTTGATCAAACTTGGCGGATTTATTTATTTCATACTAAGCTATTTGTATTGTCATAAAAAACTCACTTTATTAGTTTCCCTGTAGCAGCTAACCCAAGAACTCGTTAAACATAAATGTTAATTTAATAAATTAATTGAAAATCAATCCAGGCAAATGGAAATTCCCTAAGTCGGCAGATTTGCTGCAGCGGGGGTATTTGTTTGTTACTCTTGTCTTTAGTGGGTCTTGTTCTTCTTTCTTTTTCTTAGAGGTTAGGGTTAGGTTTGGGTTCGTCGACAATACGAAATAGGAATAAGACTTCATTACCGGACATCGTGAAAAATGCTTGAAAAACGATGTTTTTAAATTTATATTTAATAAGTTGTGTAATGTTTTTTATAGTTCTTGTAATTAATTATTAGGCTGCCTAGGCATAGTTAGTTAAGCTAAGCTCACTGTAGGTTATTAGGTTGGCAAAGTGGTTTGTTTTATTCCTTTGTCTTTCATTGTTGCTTGTTTGTTAAGTTGTTTAGCCTATGTTTGTTTGTTAGTTCTCGGGCAGCTCCCGGTTTTCCTTTCTTTTTCAACGAGACAGAAGCAAACTCAGCGTTAAGCCGATGTTTTATCATCATGGTCATTGGGGATTTCTCTTCAAATTTGAAACAAATCGCCTTGCTAAACATAGGATTGTCTCCGAATTCAGTCTTGTTTTGAACTGTTTTTAAAGTTTTCTTCAAATCAGCTAGATTAAGCATGTCCTCGCAGCTCATTTGAGTAACGACAAACTTCTTATTCTGTCCGCACTTCACTACTATGTCCCTCCACTGATCCGGCGTGTAAACAAGTGGATGTTTTTTTTGGAACTTTTCTTTCAATTTTTGCGAAATCTCGGTCCAAGGGTAGAAAGGTATGGCCAGGTATTAGGTAATAATGTTCAACAATTTTGTCGAAGTTAGTTGTATAGTGCTACAAGGTTGTAATTCTTATTTTGGCCACCACAGTTGTCCGAGAATATAGCCAACTTTTCGCTTTTGATATTCATGCAAGTTATGTATTTGTACAAACAGCTACCAATCTCTTCACTGCCTCGTTTTGCGGTTCCTTCGTCCCACATAAACATGTAACCTTGATTGTTTCCGCAGTCATGGATACCAACATTGTAGGTCCATAGCTTCCGTAAGTAAAATGCTGGGCCACAGGTGAGTTTAGGGGTGGGTAGTGTTTGTTGCAGGTCAATAGATATTGTATGCAACCTATCAGGATGCATCTTAGCTTCTGTTGTGTATTCAGTAAGCTTTGCCTGCATAGCATCAGCTCTTCTCAAATGCAATTCTTTTTCATTTCGCAAACTTGCTTTTTCCTCCTCGCTTGTTGTTGGTTCACTCAACTTAATATGAATCATATCACATGTTTTGCAAGTATCCGATTTAGGTAATTTGAACCCTATATTGTATTGTTCGTTGAAAATACGCCTGTACTTGTCTTCCGATGCTGGGGTCACATTTTGTTCTGTACAATAATTAAGATAATGATCTCTGTACAAAGATGTAATATTAAGGTCACAATCAAAATACCTTCTGTTAGGATTTTGTTTTCGGCTGTAATGAGTTTGGTATGTAGGTACCGTATTGACTTTATATGGCTGTGCACAGAGGCAACGCTTTCATCAGGGACTCGGTTAGGTCGATTAGAGTGCTTTCCTCTCTTGTCATTTGTTGGCGTAGATGATGATTTAATTTGTTTCAAAAGATTGTTCAACCGACCTCTATTGTTTTGGAGGCCATGCACAGCCATGAAAGTCTTTCGGCATACTTTAACCAGATTACTGTTTACATTCAACTTAAAATAATAAGATTTTTGCCGCCTTGATTCCTCAGGTGCCATCCCTCCGTACCTTTTCTTTACATCATAAGCCTCTATTAAGCCAAACAAATAAGCGTTTTGTTTGTCGAAATTTGCTAGATTCCAAAAACCATCAAATATTTGATTTTTTATTGGCTCTGGTAGTTTATCTTGGCACTTAAGAGGGCAATTACAAAGTTCACCAACAGAATGGGCAGCGACAGGACGCCCGTTTCTATTTATATAAGGCCTACCTTCATTTTTCCTTTTCTTATTTCTCTCTTTTTTAGACATGTTCACTTTCCTTTTTCGACCTCGAACAGGCTTCTCAGGTGTAGGATGGGGAGAACGGGCCCGTATTTCGTTTCCTGCCAAGTCTGCTGGAGCATCCTCCTGAAATAATAAAAATAATTAGTTTATCTTTTTATAAATTTCTTATAGTACTATCTATCAAAGATTTAAAATCATATGTTTTTGTAGTGCTAACCCATAAATATCAGTTAGCGAACCATTCCTTGAGGCAACACAATGCTAACCCTCAAGTGCGTAGTTACAATGAAAGTTTGATTTCAAATACTACTAGTGATGGAAATACCAAACAAATTTTGCTTTACAAGTATAAAGTGTTTTAGCATATTACAGAACAATAAAGCTGTAAAAATAATAAAATATACGCTTATTAAAAAATAAAATGCTATCACAAAACTTTTCAGGTTAACCTAGAGTAATATAGTGCTAACCTGTACTTACATTATTTTCATCTTCTAATAACAAATTCGGTAAAAAGTCAGGATCAGCATCACTGTTGTCAACAGATACGTCACTTTCTTCATGTTCATCAATAAAAAGTTGCCTTCTGACCTGTTCGTTGTCCATATGATCACCCATCATATTTTGCACAAATGGCTTAGCACTGTGTTGACACCAATATGCCTGACAAAGAACAGGGAGGCGACGTAATGCACATCGATACTAGAGCTACCTACCGGACATATCAGCAACTCCATGCAGGCAACTAATAGTTCATATAAAACCCCGCTAGAATGTGCTGTTAGCCTGATTTGGGCAAAAAGTAGGGTTAGCACTTTGTTCCGCCGACCCCTTCAATTGTTCTATAAAATATCTAAGATATGTGGTATCACGATGATTTCATTTTGCACTTACGTGCTGATACGAGTTATCACATTAAAAATGGAAACAAGCTATGACTGACTGTAGTACAGGCTAAGTAAAATAAGGGCACAGTAAAAACATTAAATCACAATGTTAAGATGAACAATAGTTATTTGTGTAACTAGTGGTGAAAGTGGCACTTTGCTGCACACGAGAGCAATGTTTACGCACGAGCCGCAGGCGAGTGTGGAATGATCTCGAGTGCAGCAAAGGCCTTTTTCATTCGTGTTACACATTATATTTTTCCTACAGTCACTATAAAGCATATAAATAATTAGTCTTTCAAACACTATACAACACATTTTTAGGTGCAGCTGGCAACACAAATGGTGCCCTAGAGAAAGTAGTACCCGCGGTCTGTATCACTCCGCTATTTTTCCTCGGCAAGAAATGTGCTCCACGTTTTGAGAATATAGTTCCGTATGTTTTTATAATTTGGAGTGGTTTCCGCGCCTTAAAAATATGCTTTAAAGGTATTTTCTTGTTTATTAAGATCGTAGGAATGTTTTAAAAACGTTTAAAAGAAAAGTCCAGAAAGTTCAGAAATACCGAAACTATAAACACGAAATGACAGGTTAAATCTTAGTTATAGTAGTCAATCAGCTGCTCATAGTATAATTATCTTTAAGTGTTGCCAACCTATTTCCAAGTGTACACGGATTACGTGCATAATAGAACCACGCTGTTTTGTGTTGTTTCGTTGGAATCCTGATGTGCGGCAAAGTATAAACCGTACGGCAAAGTATAAATATGCAGCAATTAGCATCTTTCTGTACTATAAACAGTACAAGGAAGCCAACTTTGTCGGGTGACTGTAGGAAAATTTATTTTACAGCTAATTGTTGTTGCATTACAATGTAATTGGTTAAGGAAGAAGTTGTGGAAAATAAGATGGACTTAATGACTTGTTGAGTTTTTTCCTTTGTGTCGAGGCTGCTGTGTTTCGGAAACGGGCGGCTCTTCAAATTTCAAATTATCATAAAAATGATGACAGTCTCTGGGTAAAACAATTTTCAGATCTTGTAGGTTTTTCCATTTCACCTGTGATATAGTCAAGGGTTTAGAGTGAAGTTGTGGAAAAGAAGATAGACTTAATGACTTGTTGAGTTTTCTTCTTTGAGGGAGGTCTTGGAAGTCTTCATTAAAGTTTAGCTTAGTTTTTATAACACTCGATGGTGAATACATAATCACCCTTATATCAGTAACAGTTGGATCCCCAAAAGATTTTCCTGGGTCTTATTGATTCGTAGACCATTGATCCTTTAACCGAGTAATTTCTTATGAAGTCATAAGTTAGAGTGGTTGTCTGATAGGGTTCGTTATGTCTAGCACTTGTTGTATACCTAACATAATCACTAGGCACGTAAATGGGTTTGTTTTTTATCTTTCTCTCAATAACGGAGTGGACAGAGTCCACTTCCATTTGCGTATGCCCTTTTTCTAGGAATTTTTGTGTTATGTTAACACCATGTTCAACGCTGAAACTCAAAAGAGCATTAGAGAATGTAGAATTTCTATTTTGTGATGTACATCCATCACTCCACAATATGATTGGTTTTTTTGGCTCTACCAAACAGTTCTTAGTCATATAATCTATGATACATGTCGCATAAGTGTTTGCTGTCAGGTCACATTGAGATTCATCAAACCAATAACAGTCCAATAACAGTTCGCCTTCCCTGTATTGACATCGTAGATGCTAAAGTTGTGACATAGCAGCTTCGTTTTATAATACAACGCAGATGCGTTCAAACTGGGACAAACTTTAACAGACTGTAAATCTTGCGTCAATACTATACAATTCCCCTTTGCCCCATTTTCTGTATCTGATTTCATTTCATCTCTAGCTTTGTTTTTTTCTCTGAATATGTTCATTATAAATATCATCACTAACATTTCCAACTTCATGTGAAATGCAGAGATCACATTGATCCTTTTTTGGTGGTTGGAAGGACAGATTCCTCTCTTGAATAAATACGTCAAAAGGTAAATTTTGATAAAGGCTTAACTGGGCCATCAACATGATTCTGGCACAGCTTTTAGTATTCTCGGTAAACATCAGTCATATTATTTGCTCCTGTTGGTTCTATGTACACTTTACTGGTATTTTGCCTACAGTAATGAGACGGTAGCTTTGGTATTTTATCCAGAAACTCTGCTAAAATTTCCTTGGATTTATCTGAGGTGTGTTTTTTGGTCCGAGAAGAATTTAAGAACTGTTTTGATGCGACGATACCATGTTCTTGAGCGCCAGAAACCCAATTCATTACGCTCCATTCTTTCAAGCCAAATGTTGAAAGAAATATTTTTTTACAAACAGGGACATTGTTACCATTAGGTAGCCTAATTTTATACTCATAAGTAAATGTTCTTCTCGATATTTCTCCAGGTTTTTTAGTTACTCTCTTTTTTCTGTTTTCTGTACAAGAGAGACAATATACACTTTTTTCTGATCCCAAGACATTTTGTCTCGAAAATCATTAAAAATGGCGTGACATGTGTTTTTGTCAATACTTTGACAATCTTTGAATTGTGATTTTTGACAAATTTTACTGTCACAAGTTGGCCCCATTTTTCTTTCTTCTCTTTCTGGCCCCCGTTTTCCCTTTTTATTCTGTCGTTGCCAACCAACATACTTTTACCCCTTTTCCCCTAATGACCTGTTTTTAAAGTCGAACCATAGATTTTTATCAACATTAAATTTCCTTTTTCTTTGATTTTTATTCATTCCAATACCTTCCTGATTGTTTTCAGCAGGCACGCCAATTGTTTCATTAGGCTTGACTTCATGTTCACTGATGTCATCTCCATCTGGCTGTGGAACCCAGTCGGGATCATCTACTTCTTCAACCTCCTCTTCTCTATTGTTTGCTGTTAGATGACGTGGCTGTGGAACCCAGTCGGAATCATCTACTTGTTCTTCTTCAACCTCCTCTTCTCTAATGTTTGCTATTAGATGACTTGGCTGTGGAACCCAGTCGGAATCATCTACTTGTTCTTCTTCAACCTCCTCTTCTCTAATGTTTGCTATTAGATGACTTGGCTGTGGAACCCAGTCGGAATCATCTACTTGTTCTTCTTCAACCTCCTCTTCTCTAATGTTTGCTATTAGATGACGTGGCTGTGGAACCCAGTCGGAATCATCTACCGGTTCTTCTTCAACCTCCTCTTCTCTAATGTTTGCTATTAGATGACTTGGCTGTGGAACCCAGTCGGAATCATCTACTTGTTCTTCTTCAACCTCCTCTTCTCTATTGTTTGCTGTTAGATGACTTGGCTGTGGAACCCAGTCAGGATCATCTACTTGTTCTTCTTCAAACTCCTTTTCTCTATAATATTCTGGGCAATTCCACGGTGTCGGACGTAGATTTCAGACACATTTTTCTGCTATTTTAATGCTTTAAAATTACTTTTTGTAAAAAACCTTAATCTTTAGTATTTTTATTTGAAAGAACAGTTCTTTAAGAACATTTTAATATGTAACATTTTTTAAATTTTAAAATCTTTAATGGCTAAACAAATTTTTTTCTGCGTTGTCGGACGTAGAGTGCACAAAATCGATATTTCTTTTTTCCTTATTTGACTTTAAAAATCTGTGAATTTTAAAGAGATAAAACAACAGAAAAAATCATGGATGTAAAGAAACTTATTAGCTTTGAAAAGAGCCTAGGTTCAAGTTTTTTGGTTCAATAGTTTTGACACAAAAAAAAATCTCCTACGGTGTCGGACGTAGAATTTTTGGTGTCGGACGTAGGTTGTGTGATTTTTTTTAGATTTACAAATAATAGGTAGTAATTAAATGTAAAAAAACGTTCACAATTTTATATGAACCCTTTTAAACATTTATTCATGCATTTAAATGAGCCTGAGCAAATAAAATTACTAAAATCCTCTATACCTGGGTTTAAAATATTTAAATTTCGAACATTTACGTTGCACAATATGGTTTGACATTTTACCTTCAGGGAAAAAGTAAAAGACTGTTAAACACTTTACATCTTTTATTAGATATTTTGCTTATTTAACTTAAAAAAGTTACAGCTTCTTAATTCCTACAAATTACCCATTCTCTACAAATTAGTCTCTTTAAAAAAAATAATGAAATGAAAAATTCATGGGCACTTTGGGTTATATGCCTAAACGTAAGACATGAGAAAATGTGTTCAAGGGAGCACATCTGGAAGTGGACCGATGATACTTTTAAATTTATAGTGGTCTCTTGTTCCTCCGTAAGGTTCAGGAGGCTCAATTTTCTTCACAATGTCTTTGGCTTTGTACATAATACAGTCTTCATCAGTTGGCCAGAAATAGTATGCACCTGACTTGGAGCAATGCATTACTTTCACTTTGGCTTCATTTTGTTCAACACACTGTACTTCACCTGGATAGTAATCATTATCGTATTTAACCACAACCCAGTCTTTTTGAGGCACTAAATCCTGAAGGTTTAGGTCATTTCTCTCTATTTCGAAACGCTCGCCATACTCCTGTTCTGAGTCATCACTGTCCGAAGACTCCGGATTTTGAACAATTTTTACTTTTCTTTTTACTAAATCGTCGCTTGTGTCGCCTACAATTAAGAAATCTTTTGATCCAGCTGCCGTCACATAATGCACTTTGTTTAAAGCAGCAATCTCGGCAAAATCTTCTGCTGTGCTCAGAACATGACCTGCATTGGCTTTGCAATAGTTCCAAACACTTCTCTTAACGGTTCCTCCTATGCCGTCAACCACACCTTTGCCGTGGGAAGTTGCAAAGAAATGCCAGTGGATCTCAACCTCAAAATTGCTCTGTAGAAAAGGGAGAACTGAAAACATAAAGCGATTCTTGAATTGAGCTGATGTTCCATCAGAAAATACATTGACCTTAGTAATATCTGGTTGGATTGATTTTAGTTGTTGTAGCAAGAAGTTCAAATAACAGTAAATTTGATTTTTTGTGTGCTCCAGATCATCAGATACAATAACACAGCTTTGACTGACATTTTCCGCAATCCAAGCATACGATGTAAAGACAGTAGCCTGGCTATGGGTCCAATGTGGGCTAGGTCAGAAGCCAATCAGAAGCCAGGTCTGAAAACCATACAAAAATCCAATTAGATTTAAGTCATTAGATTAGGCTTAAATAACAATGCTTACATTTAAAAATCAATGTTGATGTATCAAACATTATTTTGCATGAAAAATGCACTTAAAATACATGGATGAAAACTTGTACTTAACCATTGACTATGAATCCAAAGTCAATGATTAAACTAAATAATCAATGTAAACATCTTGCTTGAAAAGTAAACATAAACAAACTGAATTTGTTTTGGTAAATATTTTTTATTTGTTTTGAGTTTCAAATCATATGACTAAAATCATATATTAAAAATGCAGTTAGGCTTAAAGGCAGTTAGTAGATTAGACTGGAACATAACTGTTTAGGTAAGTTTGATTAGTTACAATTTATTAAAACTAATTTAGATGTTTGAATTCAAATATAGGCTAAATTACAGAAATAAGCTTACCTGAATATGAACTGATTTAAAAAGCAGTGCAAAATACAATCTATGAATCAAACTTGGAAAGCAGAAGGAGCTGTGTAACTGAACTCAACTAACATAACCTCAACTTTGCACACCAGTGTGCTGTGAACTTTCCCTCCAATTTAAAGATGTTTTTTTCTTGCTGTAAATGTAGTGTGCAGAGAAACAATGTTGCCAAATTGCGAACTTCCTGGCATGCTATTATATTTTCATAGGTAATGTGTAAACGTTTATTGGTTTCCCATCATGTTAGCCTATATGGGTTTTGTTTAAATACTTTAAAACACAGTTTAGGAGATTTAATAACCAACAGTTGTAGCAAATGTTATATATTTTTTTTTACTTTTGAAGCTTACAAAAACTTATAAATTTGGGTGATATGTTTTTATTTATGTTTAACAATGGGGGTGTGGGATAAATTTTACATCTAATTAAACTGAAAGGTTCCTTAGTGCAGGTTAATTGAGTACTATGATAAAAACTCAACTTAGGGTTTTATAGTATATGCAGCATGTTACGGTATTTAACATACACTACCCAATTTTAGTACTTTGGTGTCGGACGTAGAGTCGGACGTAGGAAATATTTCCTACGTCCAACACCATGATTAAAAAAAAACCATACATGATAGATTTTTTTCCAAACATGGATCATTTAGACCTATGTAAACTTGCTTTGCATACTAGATTTCAAGCTTTAAAAAAAAATCCCTCTAGCCATAGTAAAACTAAACGTACATTTTTGGTGTCGGACATAGAATTTAATCTTTCTTAATGTTAAACATCTGTAGGGTGGACAGAAAACCTTTTTCTTAATTCTAAATTGCATTAATATTTAGCTTTACTCTTAAACTATCAAAAAAATAATTCATAAGGCTTATTTGAGTAAATTTTGTTTGTTGGTTATGAAAATAACCAACATGGTTGTAAATCGGAGTGGAAAAAAAAAACGGTAGTCTATAAAAAAACATGTATATATTTTTTATTTATTTATTTATTTTTTGTAACCAATGTTATGAGTGGAAAGCTACACTAACGAGCTTTCCAAAAATGTATAACAGTAATGGGTTTGATAAAGTTGACAAAAAAGTATAGAGGTTGACCATTTTATGGAATTGCCCTTCTGTTAATGGCAACATGAGCTCATCCAAGGCCTCATGTTCAGGGGTCGTATTTTCAAGACAATCATCATTTTCTAATTTTTCATTTTTGCCTTTAGAATCATGCACTTTAATTGGGCTTATATAGTCATGATCATTATGTACAGAACTCAAATTGATGTCTGATACATTACAAATGTCATCAAATATCATTGGTTCGTAATCAGCCAGGTTCGGTAGGTCTACAGATTCTTGGCTAGTAGTTAAGTCATCGTTTTGAGGAATATCCTTTACGATACTGATGCGTTCGGGTAATGTTCTTTAATTGCAGACAGAATACTATCTACTTCCTTGTCGGAATCATCCATTTCCCTGAAAGTGACGAACCAGATTAAAACTTGGACAGGCGGCTATAAATTGTGCCAGTCATAGCTTGTTCCTCGTTTCCTGATTTTAGTTATATCGGGTACCAAAGTTACGTGCAGATTCTATTATGGCGGGAATAAATTCTAACCCTACTAATCTAAGTACTGTACTAAAATACTAAGGCTATAGCATAATTATAAACATTATTTTGTTTTCTATCTGTACAAATTCACTAAGACACGGTAATTAATGAAAAAAACAACTCTTACCTTAATATGTTAACAATATCAAACGTATTTTAGTAAGAAAACAGACACACTTTGAGATCACAACGCACAGTACTTTACAGCCATCCAGGAGATACGTGGTCTCACCAGAAAATAACAGCTTCATGTCGATAATCGAGATACAAGGTAACACTACCTCGAAGTTGGGGAGTGATGGTGAGCACAGTCAGTGGAGAAGATTTAACTTCGTCCATATTATCTAAATTTATGGTGTTGAAGTTAGAGATTGGCCAATCCGCAGGGGGGAGTTGTAGCCAGGCGGGTCCGTGCCACCAAAGTGAGTGGTTTACCAATTCAGAAGGTAATATTCCTCTTGACGCACAGTCCGCGGGATTGTCGTTACTAGACACGTGTCTCCAACAATGGGAGGGAATGAGCTCTTGAATTTGAGCCACCCGGTTCGCCACATGTCTTCAGACGATACGGGAGAGTTTGTATCCATGAGAGGGTTACAGTAGAGTCACACCATATCCATGAGAGGGTTACAGTAGAGTCACACCACAAAATTGTGGAGTTAATGTTTAAGACACTAGAATATTGAGAACGTACATATTGGACTAATTGAGATAGCAGATGCGCCGCGCACAACTCTAGCCGTGGTAAAGTCACTTTCTTCAAAGGTGCAGCACGAGTTTTAGATATTATCTGAGTGACATGCACATTCTGATCAGCGTTAACGTCTCGCAAATATACCACAGCAGCATAACCAGCCTCAGAAGCGTCTGAAAAACCGTGAAGCTCATAGATACCACCAGAAGAGAATATAATTGGTCGGGGGATCGACAGTTTGTCAATGTTCTGTAGATCGGCTACGAAATTATGCCACTTTAAGTCGAGTTCCGAAGTTAAGGGTTCATCCCAAGAAATACCGGAAGTCCATAGTACTTGCATGAAGCGCTTGGTAATCATGACACAAGGGGACACCAGTATGTAGCCTTTCTGCTGTATACAGCACATACTCTAGCTTATTTGATTTGTCCGGCACTTGCTGCATTCGGTGCGCAGTGTCCCCTGATGGTCCTGCGGTCGGACCTATTTCTCTTGAATGAGCCTGGGTTTTTTTTAATACAACACATATGAGTTGGAAAGAGCAATATCCTCTTCCAATATTTTGTCGTCTGGCGAGTGCATGAGGTGTGGTAGATACTTTTATCACTTACATCCACCCCGCTCATGTATTGGTTAGGCCTATACATGTGTATAAGTACAGGTTTTACTGCTTCTAGCCCTTTTTTGCTCTGGACAAAATTGTCCTCTGCATGGCAAGCAGTGGTCAGGGTAAATACCGATTTTCTTGAAGCGTTCTGCTTGGATGAAACGAAAAGGATGTTTTTGTGCCTGAAGTAAAGAGTTTGTACAGCTTCTAATTCAGTATTTTTTAGTGTTGTTGCAAGGTACTGAGAATTCTTGTTTATAGCTCCAGTAAAGTAGGTGTTCCTTTCATGCAACTTCAATGCTAGTGGTACTTTGGTGTAAAATTGATTGGTGAACAGATGATGGCCTTTGTCGAGGAGACCACTTTTCTCCATTAGGTACCTCTAACACACATTCTTGTACAAATGGCCTAGGTTTATCAATCAAGAAATCTGTGCCACTGTGTACATTTCAAGGTGTAAGACAAAGTTTGTGGCAGAATCACAACTGCTTGTGTTTTTTCTTAGGAAGATATTGTATGTAGGCACAACGGTTTTTCATGCCTATAAGGCTCATCCAGAGGTGCCACCTTAGGTCAGGGAAAAATCGGGACATTGCCCCCTCCCTCCCGGATTAACATAGGCTTTAATGCGGGCATAAGGAACCAAAATCGGGACTGTCCGGGCAGAATCGGAACGGGTGACAACCCTCAGCTCATCGTCGTAGCAAAAAATGGGTGTGACTGAGATTCTCTAGTATCCCAGTAGCCTGTTATATTCTTGAGTTTCCAAATCCCTTGTTTATGAATAAACCAAAAAACTTCTTTATGTCTGCAACAGTACAGTCTTAGACCTTTTGTCTTTCAAGCGCTTTCTTTGCCGACGCATTTACACTGACAAATTATATTCCAGATAGCCTGGGTGGAGAAAAGATAGAAGTATTCAATAGGTACCTACTATTTCTAGGCGGAAGATTTTGAATGCCAGTGTTCCTCCTAGTAAATTTTGGTTCTGGTGGATAAACTCGAATCTAGAGCAAATTTGGAGGACCTTTTTTCTTCTAAGGCCTAGGCCCACTACTGCAAGGTACATAATTACTAGGCACCCTTAACTTGTATCCAAATCATCGTAATCATGAATGTATTCTTCCCCACTTCTTCTTGAAAAGTCCAGTAACAATTCTGAATCAATATTCTGAGGCGGTAAACCTAAATTGAAGTCATCTTCAACATTGTCATCATCTAAGTTATATCTCTTATTTCTTCATTTAATAATTCCTTAATTTCACTAGCTCGCAAATAATCACACATTTTGTACACATAACCCGAAACAAACACACAACAACTCACGTAACCGTAACCATAACAACGACAGTGCAAACTTACAGATGCTCTGATTTTTAGTCCCAGACCAGAAGGAAACGGCCGTCATATGGTTTTGTTATGAAGCCTAGCAATCCCGCCTGAACGTAGAGTAAAGATAGCAACCCGATTCTAGCGCTTGTACGGCTTTAGATTCTACAAAACTAAATCAGGCGGCTGACCCTTGGAGGGTGAATGGAAAGTCCACAAAAATAAAATTTAACGTTTTTGGCCTTAAAGTTATTCTAAACTATTGTCTAGCTAGACGGTACATAGGAAAATCTTAATAAGGTTCATACATGCAGTCTCATCTTGGCACTATTCAAAAGTTGGAATAGCTCACAAATCTACATAACAGTAAACGATAAAACATGAGCTTAGTTCTTATTTGTTGTTTAAAGGTTTATTGCGGACATTTTCCATCACGATTGTAAAAAGCAATACCTAACGTTTCGGGATCTGGAATCTGATCCCGTCCACAGGTGAAAAAACAACAATGAACTTCAAACAAATAGTTCTCATATATTTGTTAGTAAGTTGCAGAAGATATAGTAGCCTAACAAATGTTTGATCCTCACTTCCATGAAAAAATCCCAATAGCAATAGCAATAGCATAGCAACGCTGGTGGCGCTGCCTACGGATTGACAGGCAAAGCTCTCTCAAAACGCTTAATGCTTTTTACCAAGCGGTTGGCATTCTGGGTTATAGTAGTACGTTTTCTGTGCCGATACAGAATACTTTGACAAGGTACAGCTAACTGTGTTAAAAGTATAATTTAAAATTTTTTCAAACAATTTATAAAAATTCTTTTAAAATTTTAAAAAATTTTAAAATTTTAATTTTTTTTATTAAAAAAAATATTTTTTTGGTTTCGGATTAAGCGGACTTTCGGATTACCGAAGTTCGGATTATCGGGACTCCACTGTATTAACTGAGGTGAGGAACACAACAAATTTCTCACTTCTCTTGAAAAAAGAGAGGTTATGTTTGCCCATGCTTTTGATTGTAATTAAATACTTATCAGAGATGAATTTAGTGATGCATATAAATAATAATAATAATAAACACATCTTACCTTATGTAGATCGTAGACTCTCAGTTATCCGGCAAATATAGGACCGTCATACTGCCGTATTAGTGAAAATGCCAGATTATTGGAAGTTCATCAAGAAAACCCCTTAAAATGCACAAAACAAGTGTTTTATTGAACCAAAACAATTCGTATCAGGTATTGGAATAAAAAACGTCATTCAGAACATTTCTTTTAGTAATAACATTTTTATGGAGTGTACAGCAGGGCCTACTAATCTAAGAAAACTAAATACAAACATAACCCTTAACTGTTGAAAAAAATTAATAACGACATATTCAAAACTTTTCATTTAGGAACAACATTTTTATAGAGCAGCACAGTAGGGCCTACTAATACTAATCTATCGTCACTAATTCCATGACAGTCAAAAAACTGTCAATCTTCTTTTGCTTTTTAGCTTGAAAAGACACATTTAACTTTTTCTCTTGAAGTCGTTTTAAGAGAAGAATCTCACTCGCAGATACATTGTTTTCTTCAGCCCACTTAACATATGTGGTATAAGCATCCATAGCAGCATCGTTGCTCACATTGTGAAGACTGCACGCTGCCCCAATCTCATCACTGTCTTCTTCATCTTTATTTGTCATCTGGTCGACTATTTCGTCGTCTGTCATTATCTGTCCATTTTCTTCTTCCTCGGCGTGTGCCTGTTACGCTCTTGCATGAACTATGCATATAGACTATCCTCAACCTGAGGAAACTCGCCTTTCTTCATTGTTTTTCTTACACTTTTCACATTGTCACTGTTTACACAGAATGATGCTATTTTCTCGCAGTTCTTTCGTATGTCATGAATAGTAGCCCGGCCGACTCCATACTCGTTGGCTAGATTTGTATGCCTGTCACCCCTGTCCAGTCTCTTAAAAATCTGGTTTTTTAAATCAATGTTTCCGTTTGCACTGAGACATTTTTACTCATTGCTTATCTACAGTTACATTAGTTTTGTTCAGTACTGTAGTGTACTTTGTCTCGTTAACTGACACAACAAAGCATACATTCACACTAGTCACTCTGAATTACACTGTTACAGACACGGGACAACGCAACAACTGACGACCGGAAGTCGTCTGTTTTCAATAGTTTCAATAACGTGTCTCTACTTGAATCCCCCACCACGCCCGTCAACAGACGCCGGATTACTGGAGTGCCGGAGTTGCGCAGTGCCAGTTTACAGAGAGTCTACTGTATTTGTATTGTAACGAATTTGAGACTGCTCAACAACCACTCTTTAAAAGTAAATAAAAGAACAAATAACTAAACTAAACAAAGCAAAATGGCTTCCAGAAAACAGAAAGTTGGAGTAGACTAACAGTTCAACCGGTGAGAATAAGAATAACATAGATTTAATGTGGAAGGAATATTTGAATTTTTACTAATTTATCACGGGGTGAGGTTGATTTTAAGTACTGTTAATTATATTAAACTATCTTGATAATGACACTGCATTAAGCTTATTCTCTAAAACAGACAGGAAAAATATTTATCATTTAGTCCTAATTCTTACCTAAAACTAAATTATATACCTATTTTATATACCTTTATTTTCAACCCTCATGTAATGGTAATAAGAACAGTACACGGAGGGGAGGATTAGTAACTTTTTCTTCTATGAAATCTTGAGAAAATTATGATAATTTTATTTTTCTGATTGAGTTATGTCTAGTTCAGTTGCTATGCAACATTTAAGGTTGAATTCAATTTTATAACAATTATTTTACTTAATAAAAAAAGGGTTGAACTGAAAATTTTCAATTTCTATAGAATGACTCTCTTGGCCTTTTTATATTTATTTGTGGTTAGGTCACTTGTTCCTTTTCACTTGATCCAGTATCTTTACCATAATTAACTTAGTTCTTTAACAACAAGTTCACGCAAAGTGTTAGGAACATTAGGCCTCTGTGCAAAGAAAGATCTAACTAGCTCGTTCTTGGAGTTGAAGAGAAATGTTCATTTTTGGAACACTAAGAATTTTATTATATTGTTATAATTAGCTAGACATGTCTTCTTTGCAACTGACGATGAGGTGACGATTTTATCCTTTCCTGTGTGATCATGCAGTTGGGCTACGATTGTCTTTTACCTTTCCAGAAGCAAACCATCTAATACGTTTTCTGGTTAAGTGGACCATTGCAATGTGGTGTCATTTGTCCAATGCATATGAGGATGGAAAACAGTTCAATCCCTATTAACATGTTAATTGAGTTGATGGTGAGATGAATTGAGGATCTGCTAGTTGAATTGAGGGTGATATCTGCCAGTTCCCGGTGTTTGTCTTTACATTTGATCGATGACAAGTGATGTAGGCCATTGCTCTATGGACGTTTTGTAGGCTGTGAGTTGGGAATGAATGGTGCAGACAATAGAGAAGAAGTTGTTGTTGTTGTCTGTTGCTCACCAATACCACGGTAGACGTTATGCGCTTGTGCAATCTTAATCTATCAGTAATTCTTTCGGTTATGAAGTTATATTGAGATGCTGAATCTAACAGTATTCCACATTGATGCATTTTACCCTGATGACCTTTACTGTTAACTACTTCTGAGGGTAGTACTACCTGAAGGTTGTCAAATTGAGATACAAGTGTTGTTTTGTCTGATATACAAGGACAGTTGGATTATTTTGTCCAATTTGTCACGAATTGTGGATATTTTCTAGGGACATGATATGTGGATGCGATACTCCCTGGTTTGGATTTAATTAGACATCTGCCATAACAGCTCCGAGCTCCGACCATTCTCACTGCTTCTTTCAAACAAGAGAAGAGTTACTTTCCTCCAAGTCCTAATGAAAATCACTTTAATTAAGACAGTTAAAGTTGTCTTAGGCTAAATTATAATCATAGATTTTTATTATAAACTAGGAAACCCGCGCGGCTCAATGAGCCCTATAATAATAAACACAATGTTGAGGAAAATTGCTGCTTGAAGTTAGTTACAGTAAG